ACGAATGTTTCGGTCGGACAGGGCACAGATAAACTTCCTGTCGGTGAATAAAATCAATCAATGGAGCGGACACAAAAATATAAATTCACTAATTATTTTTAACAGCTACAACATTTTTTCTACGTTGAACTTCCTTTAAGGAAACTTATGTATCTGATCACCCATTGATTAGATAGATAAGTTTTATTAAGTCCAAGTTGCTATCATCCTCATCTCTAATAATTAAATTAACACGAAGATAGCTAATTGTAGTTTTGCTTAAACGTAGACATTAATTAAGTCACGTTTAACAGTTTAAAACGCCAAAATTTAGTTATTACCAATTGCTCTACTGCTGACGAGCAACCGACACATTATACATTTACTGACGTAGTCAAAAAATTAAGTCTTATTTTGCATTTTAAACCGTTTTAAGTGGCTCGTGGAAATCTGAATTAAGTCCACTTTGCGGATTTATGAAGTTTAGAGTCTGACGGTAACACGGCACTTAAAACTTTTTTCAACAGGATTTCACGCTCTTGAGAACTACATGGACTAACTAGTTCACACTTTTCAAGAACACGGTTTAACATTTCACTCGGAAAAAGAAGTTTTATATAAATTGATTAAATTCATTAAGATCGAAATTGAAACATTTAACTAAACTACAAGTTAGTCATATCAGATAAACAAAACAAGTTTTTTATTGTGACAGGGCAATTTCGGATGCGATACTATCTCCAGGTGACCACGGCAGGCATAGCTTACGTTAGTACCTACTATTATTTACCTTTTATCATATAACAATATTTAAATTAAACACTTTAAACTGTTAAAAATGCGAAAACTTATTATAAGTATCTGGGTAAATTTAGGTATCCGATGTTTTGCATGCTTTGCAGCAGCCATTATCACAGGGGCAGTGCAGTACAGTACAAAGTGCTTTTTTTATGCACATGTGTCACGTAAACTACAAACAATGATTTAATCAATAATAATATATAAAGATTATATTTATTTTTTTAATACCTGTGTGAATCTTTTCTTTTTTGCATACAAACTGATTGATTGATTCCCGAGTTACAAACTATAATGTCATTCTTATTCTCTTACTTACAATTATGAAATATAACGACGTGGGAATGACATAAAATGACAGTATTTTTTGCATAACACCTCTTTGTAACCCTTGATTTTACGCAGCCAAGCTTTCAATAAAAGGAACTTAACAGGGTAAGGGACCAGTTATGGTCCCTTAATAAGTAAATTTTTCCTAAATATTTCATAACCGATTATTTTTGATCAGTTTTTTTGACATAGGGGAAGACAGACATGCATACAGTTTACATCATGGTAGGTGAGATACGCAATATAACATTTAAACACGATGCGCTGTCACCAATTTTGCGTATCAAGACTGTAACCGAAACACGATTAAACCACATGGCTTTTTCATTTATGTAAAATTATGTTTTTACTTACTGCAATTTAGTTTCCATCGTGCGCTATGAGTAGTAGTTAAGTAACTAGATATTGAATCGAATCGTTAGAAAGAGCTTATAACTCTTTTGGGAGATTTAAGATTTGACAAAGATGAATCAATATAATGATTTATAGAAAGTAGCCTATAAATGGTACTTTTACCCTTATACGCGAAAGGTGTTTCAGACGGGTTGAAACCTTTCTATCGAGTACAATGCAAATACTCTACGCCAATAAGTGTTTATTTGTGAACGCATCTGCTACATATGCGCATACGAAGAAAAAATAATGAAAGGGCTGGATTTGTTATATCACAGGAGGGCACCTGATGATGGATTCGTTGCGCTTAAATTGTGGGCCACTAGGTATATCTACTGTTTGGAATACAAAACGGAATAAATATAAAACATATATTCACAAACTTAACATGACAAAAATGTCAAAAAATTTACTCCTGTAATGTTTGTACGGTATAAGAATTTTGCTAATTTCTATCTTTCTTTGGTCTCAAAAATTACATGTGTGAATTAAAACTTGTCATTTAATCAAAAACTGTAAGTTACTTTTTTTTAGTTACTGTTGCCTCTGTAGCCGAATGGTTCAAATTCTTCACGGGGAAAACGGGATTTCATTTTTCTTTCAGTATTGCTTATGACTATGATATTTCAGTAATAAGAATATATAAATTAATTTCTAACTGAAATCAAATCAAAGTTATTATGAGAGCCTGCCTTTAAACCTCAAAATAAACTTAAACTATACATACATTTTTGCTTTCCACTAAAATGGTATGGAAGTAATTAAATCTGGTTAAAAATTATGAAACCAAAAGTTAACTTATCTATTTAACAATTATGGAAATATTCCATTTAAAGAAGGTTTGAGTTATGTAAATGTTTACTATAGGCCGTTAGATAACGGTATTGTAACAGAGCGTAAACCAAAACAGCTCTCTTTGCATCAATAAATTAAAAAGCATTAACTCTTTTGTTTTCTACAGATCATAAACAGAAGGAATTGTCGTAAACATCGGTAGTTTTGCTACAATTCTTCCCACCTCTTTGAAGAATTCAGTACAAAACGCAGGTACGCGTTTTTTATTCAATATTTGCTCTATAAAAGTCGGTGAAAGTTTTGCGCTTAACAAACACAATGCAGGGCTTTTTATTTGTCGCAAAAACTTTGCCTTTCTTCGAATCGACGAATTCGACCACAAAAGGGTTTTAAAATAGACAATTTTTTGCGGAAACTACAAAAATGTGCATTGAAGCACCCTGCGGTGGGGACGAGGATTTTTGCGAGTTGTCTTTCTTTCTCTTACATATAATCTCGAAAAGAAAACGGGACATATATTGACCATATACACTAATCACTAAATAGTATAAAAAAGTAGCTTTTTCTGTCTCTATGTACGCTTAAATCTTTAAAACTACGCAACGGATTTCGATGCGTTTTTTAAATAGATAGAGTGGTTCAAAAGGAAGGTTTTTAAATGCAACGTTCATAGTGTGGTGTATTTAGTATCAGCATTGCACCCGAGTGAAGTCGGGGCGGGTAGCTAGTGTAAAATAGAGCTGAAGAGTTTGTTTCTTTTAACGCGCTAATCTCAAGAAATACCGGTTCGAATTGAAAAAAAAAGGCTATATAAAGACATGCTGCGGCCAATAAGCAAAGAAGCAGTGGAAAATATGATAAAAAAACGTATTAAAGAATGATGTCTCTCTAAATGATAAATAAGTCCCTGACATCTTTTTATGGTTACCAATTTGGTCGAAATGAATGCGTTATTACCAAATTATTTGTTACAATTTCATCAACATGCTAATCTTGCAAACAGAGCAATGTTTACCGGATTAGCTAGTCATAAAATAAAAATAAAGATTATCATCTTTATAAGCGTCTTTAGATAGGCATAAATTAAAAATAATAATCTATAAAGCGACCTATAAATAGTGCCCTGCGTGCACAACGAAGGGTGTACAAAGGTGAACGTCTATCAAAATATTACGAGACGTCAGGCAAAACGTTTACCACGTCAATATGTGGTATTAGATTTAATGCCCCTATTTTACAGTCAAATGTCAAAAGCTGTGTCCTTGTATAGACGTATGAAAATCGCGTATTTTTGAAAGAACAGTCGGTTCTCAACAAGATGTGTTGTTGGCCTATTTTAGATGATCGGAAGTTCATAGACCGAAACTGAAACGCGACTAAACTTCACGGCTTTTTTATTTATTTTGTGGTCTTTGACTTGAAGATATTTCGATATTCCTACCACCCATGTAATATCCCGATTTCGAGACGAACTCTCTATTGTTCAGAAAAAGTACATTGTCTTTAATGCTTGGTTTTATTAATAAAAATATAAGCATATTTCTTTTTTATAAAGGGGTAGTTTAGCTTGTTGATCTTCGTAAATGTCTGTTTCGTATATTTACGCGGGAAAAACAACTTTGCATAGGTAAAAAAAAACAAGTATACTTTCGTCTCCTTTTTTTAATATTTACGTCTTAATCTAACGAGTATTAAACTTAAGAGTATAAATGCGAATTAATTTTCTAAAACTTAATTTTATGTTATAAATTACGTTGAATCCTTATTTATATAAATGCAAAAATCTTTGACCGAGAAAATATTATTTACTAACAACATTTGTATATTATTATGATTAGCGATTACGGTAGGTAAGTATTTTCTGTAAATTACCCGAGTACATATTTCAATAATACACTTTTAACGGTTTAAAATACGAAATATATTTCGACACGACGTTTCGGATACGTTGGAGCAGTACCGGGCTGCAGGGACAAGCATCCGGTCGTTCGCGTTTTAAACCGTTAACAATGTATTATTTAAACATCTATTTTATGTTATGCTTATGTCAATTGTCCTTAAATATAAGTTTGAGCTATGACGCGGCGTAACTATATAGTTTGTTATTATTGCTGAAAAAAAATGGCTTATCACTAAAATATTACAAGTATATGTGTTACTACCACTCCACACATGTAACAAACCTGAAATGGCAGACATTTTTGTGAAGACACATTTAATAATCTCCCTTCGTTCATAAATTACTTCAATAGAGAATTAAAAATGAGATTTTTCAATTAAAAATGCTCTATTAAATTTTTATTTAAACATCCTACAATAGCAGTCGATAATTTAAAGTAAATTAAATATGTAGTTCAAACCAGCGCTGGAGGCCTCAAGGCAATAAAAGTGTGGAGGGCCCCAAAGTATTATATCTCTTTAATAATACTAAAACAATCTAAAGATTAACAAACATATGTCGAAACACGAAAACGAATAATCTGAATTAAAGTTTTAGCCGGCGCTTTTGCAGAATTTGAAAAAAATCCTAAACCTAAATAAGAGTGTCACTCTTTTGTGGAGATCCTGGAGCCCCGTTTGCCCTCCCCTAAGTTCGGCCCTGGTTAAAACTTATACGTTATAGAAAATATAAATAGATTTTATTCCTTAAATTTCTAAATTCTGTTAAAGACTTTGAGCAGGTTTAAGCTTAACAATATCATTTTTTACAGATACAATTCATAGTCCAGCCCGTTCCCCCCACTTAAATAGTCATATAAGTAGACCGCCATTTCGTCCAGGGCGTCAAACCTGGGATCACTTAAAGGCTCATCCCTCACCGCGCGAGCTGATCTCCCCAAAGACCTAGAAACACAAGCGCTTAATAAACTATTGTCTGTAGTTTACGCAAGTAGTTAACTATAAACAGTTTTAAACGCGAAATATACTAGTAATTTAATCACAAGATATTTTAACAACGGACCAACGTTCCGGACTGTTAATATGTGATAAGTTAACTATTATATTTCGCGTTTTAAACCGTCAAAAGTGTTTTCAATTTTCCAATTTTTTTATTATTTTTGAATATGCATTAATTTTATTGAAAACAACTCACACCCTACCGAAATTCTTGATGTACTTTTGTTTATACATAAAATTGTACTTTTTCTCGTAATTTTAAACACAATATCGGCACAGCTAATATATTTCGCGTTTTAAAATATCAATGTTGTCGTATATTCATATCACTTCCTTTCAATTATATGTAATTTAATACATAGTAATTAATTTGTGTTTTATAAATACATTTTTATTAATTTGGCGTATACTTACGCCATAAATATATTTAGATGTTTGATGATTTTGAAAAAAGGGTTTTCAGGGAATTTTGTGTTAAGGTACAACATTTGGAATTTAGCTTGAGCAGCACGGACCGGTATGGATGCCGGTTCGACTCCCGCCCGTGACGTAATGTTTTTTCAATTTAATTAGAATTCATGTATAATGACATCATAAACTTGCAAAAAATATTAAAGATAAAATTTAATAAATGGGTTTTTTATTTTATAATATATTTTGTGATGAATATCCACTTTATTTTATAATTAGCAAAATTCGCTGTAACTATATGTTGATTGATGTAAACATTTTTAGCTCCTTTAAAAGTATAAAAGGACCTGATACGTTTATTTATGTCTTCCTTATCTTCACATTTCTTCAGAATATTAAGTCCCATACTACTACTACTATGTAACAAAATAGCTTACCTAAAATCGCCGTCAGTCTCCAGGTCGTCTTCGCTGGTAAACCGTTCCCTGATATCCTTCATTATGCAGGCTTCCAGCTTTTTATGCTAAAAATAGTTTAAAAATAAGATTTGGCTATAAAGGATAATTATTGACTAAGCCATTTATATTACCTTATAACATCTGAAGAAGAACATAGGTTTTATGAGCTCCTGTGAAAGTGGTGCGACGTCTCGTTTTATGTCCGGCACACATTGCTGTAAAAGGTAAGCCTATTAGTAGAAGTCAATATCAAAATTTAAAAATAAGATATCTATACTAATATATAAATGAAGCCGAAAAGTTTGTTTGTTTTAAAGGGCTAATCTTAAGAAAACAAACAAATAACTTTGCAGCTTTATAATAATAGAACAGATGAAGATAAGAAGGACGTTTGCAAGACTATGCGGTCGAAGTCGCACGATCGCCTATTTAGCTAAATACTTAAACATGTTGTCTAGCATTGTGTGAAGCGCAAGAGGTCCTGGGTTCCGATTCCGGGGAAACAATAGACAGTTTTGGTCGGGCAGGGCACTAGTCTTATCAACCTTATATAAAACTGATAAGTGAAACGGACGCATAGAAATCCCACAAATATTGCCTGTAGTGGATGCGAGTAGTAGGAACACTTTAGTATTAAATACTTGTGACTGGTTAAAACATGAAATAAACAAGTTTAGGTTAGTTTTAACTACTACAACGTAGATAAAAATAAGTGAACCAACATATTATGTGCATTTTAATCCATTAAAATTGTTTTATTAAACTGCCATATTGTGTGTTTTGTATAAAAATCCAACTACTACTTCAATCATTAAGAACTGTTATACAGAGTATATTAAAAAAATACCGAAAACTTCTGGCAGAATTGCAGCCCATCCTGGATGTCTCCCTTCAGGTCGCTCGAAACTGGCAAATTGCTGATCCTCTGCGTAATCTGCTCATAATTGGGTTCCAGGTTGTGGTCTATGTAACCTAGCTCTTGCATCACGCAGGTTATGTTCTTAACTTTTCCGGAATTGGGTCCGCGCGAAATTATGTCTAAGCGGTCGCGGAGGTCCAGGTCCCGCTAAAAATAATCATCTATGAATGAATCTCCTATAATTCTGGCCCATACTAAACCAAAAAAAAAAATTACATTACTCCATAATTCAATATATCGCTACCAGGTGGTAATTACCTACCAAGTAAAAACAACTGAAAAAAACTTGTAAAAAGAAAATTATTACCAACACTGTTCGAAAACTTTTGTATTTTTCACATGTTTTTGTACATAATGGCATCATATGTTTCAAAAATCTATTTAGATAAAAAAAGTTTACAACACAGACGGGAATTGAACCAGTGTCCACAGCGTTCGTTGTTTCTTCTCTAACCAATTGTGCGACGCGGTGGCTCAGTTAGTTCGAACAGCACGGAACGTTGTGGTGGTGGTGGTGGTGTATACTATTTCAAGTCCCACCCGTGTCTTTTTTTTTAATCTAAGTAAATTTAAATAAAACACTTTAACGGTTTCAAACGCGATATATTAATATTAATATATCGCGTTTTAAACCGTTAAAGTGTTTTATTTAAATGTGTACTACTCGCGTAAACTATAGACAGTATCTAAGTAGATTTTAAATTTATAAACACCATTAAAAGAATTATAAATACAAAAGGAAGCGTATATATATTTCAAAAACAAATCAAAATAACAAATAATGTATTTTAAAGAACATTACCATCACGCCAGCTACAAAAATAATTCATATTAAAAAAAAATTTTGTTAAAAAAAACTGGTGAAAAAATCCCCAATGTGGCCTACATACATCCAAAAGATGTAACTAAAAGTAACAAGACAGCTAACTTACCGCCATTCTATTTGAAGCGAAGTAAGGTTGCTGATAGAACTGCTGCATCGGCTGATAGTAAGGGTTGTACTGCCCTGGATAAGGGTATGGCATATTGGGGTAAGGATACTGGTAGAACGGAGATGCTGAGCTAAACGGCCTGAACTGGGGGTTCGTTGGCATCATGTACGGCGGTATTGACTGGGGCTGGAATGGCTGAAAGAAAGTAAAAGTTATAGGTAAAATATCTGACCAGGCAAACGTTTTGCTCCATGAATGATTTCAAGGGAATATCTATTGTGTATCTGATAAGACCTTCTTCAGTCAGTTGAGCGAGTTCCGTCTCATCCTTACTTCGGGTAAACCAGATGAGACCGTAGCCTGGGATAACTTATGAAGTGATAATTGATCAATAAAAAGATACCGTTTGGCGATAGAAGAGTGATAATTTGGGTTGAATTTTTTTAATGCTACATAATAAAAAAAATCTTTAAGGTTAACCCTTAACACTTAGAGATATGAAAAATACCACTACGCCAAAACACCACCAAAAATAACACCTACTATAAGACCTACTGATTATGCATTAAAAAAATCATAAAAATCGGTCGAGTAGTTTCGGAGGAATATGGTACCTAACACCGTCACTCAACAATTTTTTTTAATACCCTTTCTCTAACTTGTGTAAAGAAAAGTAACGAAAAACAAAAAAATAATTTTTAATGCAAGTTATAGAGAAGTGGTTAATTAATTTGACAATCACTCTCGTCGCCTCTTTAGCTCAGTGGTAGAGCACTGGTCTCGTAAACCAGGGGTCGTGAGTTCAATCCTCACAGGAGGCAATAGATTGTTTTTTTTTTTTAAATATACAATGATTACCGATTGTGATCGAAGAGGTAGGATTTGGCTCAATGGAATCTTTTGCACGTGCAATTTTTCATGATTGGGTAATTCATTTTCTTGATTTAGTCCAGCGCCATCTGTTGGCTTCGTGATGGTTTGCGAGTTCGGGTCCATCGCGAACCCTGGCGGTAGTTTGCCGAACAAGATTGACGGGATTTGTTGGTTTGCGTTTTCTTCGAAAGATGGCGGTGATGAACATTTCGCGTAAGCCTCCTTCATTTCTCTTCGAATTTGCTTAACGACCTCCGTTCCGAAACAACTTTCGTAGATCTAAAAGTTAGGATGACATTTTACACATAAATACTATAATTTTAAATTGTTTATATAATTAGAATTATTTATAATACATATAGTAATTTGTTAATTTCATCCAACAGCAGTCGTGGCCGAGCGGTTAAGGCGTCTGACTAGAAATCAGATTCCCTCTGGGAGCGTAGGTTCGAATCCTACCGACTGCGAACTTCTTTTATTTTTTGACTCACCTTCATCATAGCGTATTTTTTGATAAATTTGTCATCGTTGCTAGCTAAACCTTGGGCTATGCAGCAAAATAATATTGCTAAAGATATTTTCGCCATATTGAAATCTGCGAACAAAAACAAAAAATACCTGCTATCACAGTAAGAAAAACTCTTTACATAAAAAGCTTATATAGAGGTCTTAAATCAATAAACTAATATAAAACGAAACGTTACCGGGTTCAATAACATTAAAGTACTTTGTAATCGTGTCTGTGTATTTTATGTTAGTTATACGCTATATGTAACTAACAACTAACATGCAAGGTTACTATGGTATAACCACTTAATTTGTTCGATGTTATAGAAGTTTAAAATGTAACTGTAAATTATAATATACATATAAACTTCTTATTTTTTCTCTCTCACAAAAATAGAACTAATATTATTTGCTTGCCCTGTTTTCTTAATAAAAGTAATGAATAATTACATGATTTAAATCTTCTATTAAAATTCATACATCTATATTTTTTTTTGATAGAGGTGGCACACAAGCACATAACATACATAACACAACATCTAAACAAGATGCAATGTCGTCCTATTTTTGGCTTTGGATTCGGAAATCCACACACTTAAACCGAATCAAAATTTAACTTCACGGCTCTTTTATCTGTGCACGGTGGTTCGTGGTCCGGACGGAATTTCGACATTTACACTTTCAGATTTCCAGAAGACCCATACGTTGCCACGATTTTACCAACGAATTCGTCATGAATTCCATGTAAATGAGAGTAAAAAACAGTAATTATTTACGATAGAGATGCTTCTCAGAACCTCAATAATAAGCAAAAACTGTTTGCGGCTCTAATCTAATGCTAAAAAGCTTTTTGCTATAGTACCTAGTGATGTTACGTCGAAGTTTGAATAAAACTTGTTACTTACACTTTATAGGTTTATCTTTAGAAATATTATCTACGATTATATTTATAAATATAGGAAATAAATGATGTGGATTGTTCGCTTTAGGTCCTGAAGTACAGACAATCAAGCTTATAAGTATTGTATGTAATTTAAACGTATTTAAATAGACCATTTCTAACGGTTTCAAATCCTCCCCATGATTCTTACTGTAAAGCTTCGTAAACGTGGTATTGTCGTTAAAAATATGTTAACCAATTTAATTTCCCGTTTCAATCCGTGTAAGCGCTTTATTCCATTCTAATTACATACAATTAAGTATCATGATTAATAACAACTATAAAAAATCTGATATATAAGCGAATTTTTTTCATGTTTAAAACATGTTAAACGTTAAAAGTGTTTTATTTACACGAACTATTCATTGATGTACATTTTTGAGCACTATCAGTAGCGAGCGAGGAAACATTAAACTACACTGTAACGTTTGAAAATGCGAATGGTTTTTGATAATTTTTCTAATACATTTCGCGTTTTAAACCGTTCAAATTTTTATTTAATGCTCTTTGTCTAAGTCATAAACATTTTGATTACGTACCGGTTATATTTGCATGTACCGTTTGATGGTCTCAAGCCCTTAGGGCATAATAAAGTAACAAAAAGCGACCAGTCTCTATCCGACTGCACCAACCGGTATGTCAGGACCGGGAGACATGCCTGTCATTTTGTATTACCGCGCGATAGGAGTTTGATAAGTAAGTGCAGGTGTCAGAGATTACATGTAACATTGATTATATTTCTACTTTTTATAATACCCAGGGAGAGATGGTCGAATAGCAAGGTAGAGCTAAATAAAATTTATTACTTTTAAAAAACATGGTAATGTCCACAAAATACATTTTAAGTAATATTTCTCGTTCTTAACCGTGAAAATTGTTTTATTTAAATGGTAGCAATCACAACTTACAAACAAAAAAAATATTAAGGTAGGTATTCATTAGGTATAATCAATTATATATGAATATTGAAGTCAAGTAATTGGATATGCATTTTAGTTTACTCGCTAGTGAGGGTTGGTGGGCGATTCTCATTCTTAATAGCGGTGATTGTTGAAGTAACCGGCACCGATCACTGAACATGCTCTAAAAGGCATGGGGGTGATGATAAATACCAAAGCAATTTTTCTCTAGCCAGGATCTTGGAATCTGTAGTCAAGTATACCAGCCACCAGACTCTTGGGTAAGTCTAGTGGTCGTGTGAAAATTGTAAAGATTGAAAACCTTTTAAGCGAGATGTTTCGTTGATGGAAGGTGTAAACCCCAGCCATATAAAATGTGAATAAGGTGAGCTGTCGACCTTTTTTTGCTTTCATATTCGAAAATTCACTGACTGAAATCGAAACGAGATCAAGCTTCACGGCTTTTTTATCTGTGGAACATGGTTCGTGATCCGGACCTAATTGCTACCATCGATTTTATCTCCTGACTTCCAGATGAAATTAAACAGTTTCAAAAACTATAAACATTTAGCCCGATGATTATTAGTCAGACATCGCTAAGATTAGAACAACGAGCCGATCAACTGAAAAAAATGAATAAAATAGTAACTCGTAACGGTGCTATAATTTGGAGCTTAGCAATCAACTGACAGAAACGGTACGATAAATTATAGTAATGCTTTGGGACACCGAAGTACTTTTTAACAAACCAACGACGAGTGACTTCGACAGTATTAAGCCAGCGAGCTAGCGATAGTGGTTTAAATATTCTTAAGAAAAGTCCGATATCGTTCCTAACAATTGACAGAGAAATAAAACGTTTTTACGTAGTTATATGTAGTGTATTTTTTTCGAACTTCATATTGTAAGTAAAGAATTTACATGGCCATCGTGATTTCCTTACAAGGTTATCATTGATTTTCACTAAGAACACAATTAATTATAAATTAAACTCGTAATTTATTCAGTAAAACGACAATTTCACGCTAAATTAATAAAGATCCTAAAAATTAATTTACATAAATGGACAAAATTAAAATTCTACCATAAAAACAGGGATGTGAGCAAAGTCAACGACGATAGAAGGAAGAAGTCCTACTCATTCCCGATCTTGCAGGCGTTCGAAACGTCGAGTTAAATAATAGAGACGAAAAAATAAAAAACGCCGCCATGAGAGTGACTTTGAATGTTAGTTTGTTCTATATTTAGTCGATGTGTCTTCAGTGGACGTGGAATTTCAGACAACAAATGCTTTAGTTCATCTGAACTTTTGGAAAATCCGGAAGTTCATACGTGGTGTATTATTCGAGTATTGTCTGTTATTCACGTAGTATGTGCATGTAGTACAAATCTTCAACGGTTTCAAACGCAAAATGTATTAGTTAACTAAACAGAGGCCACGGCAGCTGCAAATCTTCCGCAACGAAACATTTTATTTAATTAAATATATTCATTATGCAACTCTAAAAATATATTGTTTCAAAATCCACGAAACCTGTCGTATATTTTTAAGAAATCTCGATTATTTAATAAGAGATTTTAATTAATTTATGTAGAGATTAAGATAACGCGGCTGAGTCATTGTAATACAGGTTCTGTTATTGTGCGCAAGAGTTTGTATCTCGGATATCGCAACAACCGAACATAACATTGGTTTTGTCAGACTATTAAACTAACGGTAGATCTCGGATTAGCATGGAGTTAATTGAGTGAAGGAGAATGTTCTAATAAATGAGTTATAACTTCCGTATCTATTAATCAATTAATTTTAAAACCACCATACTGATTTTTGTTTTCCCGGGATTCGAAGTCCCTCCCGTTTAACGCGTTCCTAGGCAACACATCATTTGCTGGGTTAGCGAACGCGTAGAATAGTTATTTTAGCCATCTTAATTAGTTTTTTCAAACCTCATCTTTCTACATTTTAGCTATTACCTACGATGTCGTTCTTGCAATTTAATTTTAAAAGATAGAGATAATAGTGTCGGGGACATTTTTTTCGATCATTTAAAGAGGAATCATTCTTTCATACATATTTTTTGCGTATCTTAAACAGTTTTCGCAGAGTACGCAACGGAAACCCACAAAGATGAATAATTTTCCCTGTGTTGTTTCATATTTCCCGCTGCTTTCTCACTCCTATTAGTCGCAGCGCAATGCCTCTCTCGATAAATGCTCTAACCGATACAAATATAACTTTTGAATTCGAACCTGTAGTTTCTGAGATTAGCGTGTTCAAAGAAACGAACAAAGACTTCAGCTTTATATTAGGTGTATATTTCATTTTGTCTACTTAGTTTTAGTGACTAACATATTCTAATATAGGTACATGTTAAGTTAAAAATTGTTACTAATCCCCTTTAATGCACACATTAGATTTAATTAATTTTAAGAAATGGATTTATGGTTTGACAACTAAATTATTATTATTATATATTAGTATAGAAGTATATCATCATCGAGTAGTGGGTTCGATTATCACCCGCTCAAAATTTTTCTAAAATAAATAGGTTTTTTTTTAAATCTTTTTTGAAATAACAAGTCGTTTTACTGTCTTCCTCTGTCATTAAAGGCAAAGCAAAGAAGAATTCTCACATTCGAGAGACGTAACTTCGTGATAAAAAGTTATTAAATCATTACCAGTTTATGCGGAAGGGAACTTATGTAATGAGTCAATTATCAAGGTGAAGCAATCCTAACGGACGGTTGGTGGCATGCGTGATGGGAGATTGTACACTGAGATAACAATATTAACTGTAAGTGTGAGATATTCGCGATGTACTTTTTAAATGCTGTGAATTATGAGTTGGTTGAACTGGTTAGGGTTCCGCAATACAAGAGTGAAACTGGGCTTCGAGTCCTACCTCTCTATCATTCTGTCACCGGTTGGCAATGGCTAATAATCAACGAATCGTGGGTTCGTTATCCACTGGGTACTCAGAAAGATTATAAAGTGATTGAAAAAAGTTGGACTTCGTATGGAAAACTGGATATTATTTAATAGGTGGTTGGAATATCAAAACTCCGACCAGGTCATGAACCTCTTTCCACAGATGAAAACCGTGAAGATTAATAGCGTTTCAGGCTGTAGATTTCCGAAAATCCAAAGCTATTAAAGGTCGACAGCAGTCTTAACGTGATGTTATCTGGCTGGGGTGTTTCACCTTCCATCAAATGAAGTCCATGTTTGCCTGTTCTCTTTTATCAAAAAAAAATCTCAGTATTTCAAGAACCACGACAAGTAATGAGTAAAATTTTTTCACGAATTGTGTATTTATGAGCAATGCTATTTTCTGCCCCATATTACTTTATAATTTTTTATATGCAGCCATTGTTGACACTTGAAACGATTAAAATATTTTAATATAAGTACAGAACCTTTTTCGAATTCCGACTCGCACTTGATCGGTTTTATTAACTATACTCGAGTGATATGCAAATAATATGCGCAACGGAAGTTGTATGGCTGAAGTTTTTCTTCATGGCATCACATGTACTCAGGTCTTTATTAAAATTACACACTTAAGGTTCTCATCTCTCGCCCTGGTGCACTGCACCACTGGACCCTACGATAGTTACTCCACTGTTCCTCAGTAGTACACATCAAAATAAAACTTTAACGGTTTCAAAAGCAAAATTTTCAATTGATATTTAACTTAATGAACTTATTTTTATCATATTTTAACAGCAATTCGAATTTTTATTATCATTTTCAATGATGAAAAGCACTTTCCTATTTTCATATCTCACTTTAGAAAAATACATTGACAATATATTTTATGACATACCTATTGGCAAACGTAAAAGATATATGTAATGATATATACAATTTTACAATACATAGATATTTATTATATACTATATTGATTTAAAACCGATAAACAATTATTGAGACCGTAATTAAAGAAAGTAATTAAGACGTTAGTGTCGCGTCCAAAACTTGGCAAAAAAGTGGGTCATTTTTTGTTGAAACTTTGATTGACTTTGACTTTGTGAATTTTGATTACAAAAATTACAATGCGCTACAAAAATACAGCGGGCACTCCTGCTGTTTTCCACCAGGGAGATAAAAAGAGGCTTTGTAATTTCACGGTATCGTAGAATTTGTTTAACAAAATAGTTCTATTTATGTCACAGGAGGACAAACAAGCAGGGGTTAATTTTATGGTAGGTGATATAACATCTGAACAAGGTGGGCTGTCGACCTGTTTTGCGTTTGGACATTTAATAATCCACAGACTGAAAACGAAACGCGATTACACTTTACGACTTTTCCATCTGTGGTTTGAGTGCAGTATCACGACACATTTAATATTTTCCACCACAACATTTTTAATATTTTCATACATTTTCAATTTATTTTCGATTTTTAAATTTTCATTTTATCAATACAAAGTTTATCCATAACTTACAAATTAATTTAAAACAACTCACCGACCCGTTGATTATTAGGAATGATTTGCCACAATTGGATCAAATTGTTTGACAGTACTCAACAGACAAAATAATATACAATATAATAGAACGACGTTAGGGGCCAAAACTAAACCTACTATTCGCAAAAAATCCGAGTTATGTGCCTGTTAAACCAATTTAATTTTAATCTCAAAAACAAGAGAAATACACGCCAATAAAGATTTATTTTTTTATATTTTCAAAAAGATTAGAATAAGTTTTGTATGTATAAGATACACCTCAATTTTTCTGTGTAAGCTACAAGTAACGCCTACTTCCGTTCTACTTGTTACTAGTTAAGACATTTAAACATCAAGACCACAAACTACTTATCTACTTAAGCACTGCTTGGGACTCCGGAGTAACTAATAACACAGTAGAATCGTCCGTCTATCTCCAGTGTATAATGATTCGCACGTACTTGGAAAGTATAAGTCTTCGGTGGATAACATATTATTGAGATCCAGCCGGTGTCATTATGAACTAGTTTGCCTGAGGTTTTTTATTAGCCGAGAAAAATATTGCAGGTTGATTCAACCCGTTTGTGCGGTGTTCGTCTATGTAGTTAGTTTTACTAGGTACTTGGAGGTTGGGATATAAAATGTTGATACAAAGTTATCGCATTAGAAATTGCATAACGCGTACAATAAATGTATGAACAATTTGCTAGTTAGGTATTCAAAAGTTTGTTTCATTTTACTTTTGACGCATTAAAAAAAGTATTAATTTCTTAAGTAAAAACGTAAGCAAGTATTTATTTTAATGCCCTTTGTTTAAATATTTAGTAAATCACAAGTAAAAAAGAATGAAATGTTCAAAAATATATTACGGAGTATCATAGACGATGGGTTAATTTAAATAAAACATATTGATTTATGTTACATAATTAGCACTTTGTGGTAAAACAAAAACTGTAAACGAGCTTATTCTACGTAATAAAAATAAATCACACAGTACTTACCGTCAAAAGCTCTAACAACAAAGCACTGCGCAAGCGCAGCTATGCGTGTACGCGCGAGGCGGCCGCGGTGTGGTGCAATGACTTGGACGCTTGGTCTTGACCTTGCGCGAAGAGTAACGCCAAACGGACTGCTTACTTGTTTTATAGGCGATCCCATGGGGCACACAGGTGAAGCGAACCGCGAGCTAAAACATTAGACTTGTAAATTTTCCTATAACAATTGAACCACAGACTACGCCTACTGTTAGTTTTATTGGTTTATGTCTTCTCTGTATCTCAGTAAATAGTGAATCTAGTTTGGTTATTATTTGTGTAATAATAATTCACGAATGTTTAATATAAAGGTGATCGATGTCTGAATACAATTTGTATGAAGAATTAGTGAAATTCCGATTTCCCCAGTGGGGCGTGGGGCGAACATATTTATGAGTATGTTTCACTGTTGGAAATTATTAACAGACAAGTAGTCGATGAAATATCTGTGCCTAACCAAAACTGTTTATCCGGGATTCGAATTTAGGACTTATCGCGCTTCACTTTTAATGACTTAGCTAAAGAGGCGGTATTTAAAATTCGATAGAATTTTAACTTATTACGATTGAATTTAAGCACTGAATTGCTTGTAGAATGAACAGCTTGTATGTCCGCAAGTACTACTAAGATTAAAGTGTTTAATCCCTATTAGGATTACCGAGTATTAGAATGCAAGTTGAACGGAAAAGTTGCGGAAATTTTAGTATAATTACAAATTAAGTTTTATTCACATTTTGATTAAGAAGTTAGCTTATCTAATATACGCATTTTAAAAGAAGATTTAGCCATAAGAGAATATAATATCATCTATTTAAATAAAACACTTTAACGGTTTAAAACGCGATATATTAGTTAAACTTATTTGAAAAACTTCGGCCCGACGTTTCGGATGCTTTGCAGCAGCCGTGGTCACTGGGAGACTCCCCGTGATCAAATCATTTTCAAAACAGTTTAACTAATATATCGCGTTTTAAACCGTTAAAGTGTTTTATTTAAATGTGTACTAGTTGCGTAAACTATAGACAGTATTTAAGATATCATCTAATTAAAATGAGTCATGAATTTAAATATCAAAAATAAATTGAAAAAATTTTCGACTCGGGCAGGACTTGAACCGGCATCGTCAGCGTTCCGTGCTGTTGCTCTCATGAGTCATGAATTAAAAAACAATACTGGTTATCACTAATTTGGTGGCGGTATCGTTAAAGCTCGTTAACCCATTGGAACAACATGATGGGTCGAAGTGCTACAAACTGTCTCCAATGCCTGTGAAAACCCAACAGTGGGACTTAAATACGTTAAATCTAACAATACGAAAGACGACTTCATATATCTATTAAAATACATGTTTTTTTATTAAACACTAACTCACTATACGATGGACAGATAAGATGTGGATCGTCTCTGTGGTTCTAGACGTAGGGGTTTGGTTTGTTTTTTCTTTATTGGTTTTGGAGTCTTATTTCTTTGCAGCTGCCATTAACTAAGCTTCCAAAGCGAAACTGTATCAAAGACATGTGAAATTCTTAGAAGATCTCGTAAATACTAATTGAATTGAATAAATATATTATGTAGATAAATGTTGGGTTTACGGTTGCATAGATGACGCGGCAGTTATCTCCTTTTTGTACAGAAACGGTATTTCAACAAACATACAGATTTGAAGCCATAAATGTTGAGTCGTAATATTCGTCAAAGGTTATTGCATAAGGCTTTAAAATGGCCGGGTTCAAATAGGGTCGAGATGACAGCAAGCAGAGTTGGTATGGACAGAACATTAATAAAAGCCATTTTAATAAGGCAGGATACTTATTTGTGTTACTTTTAGCATTTTATGCGAAATATATTAGTTTTCGTTTTTAAATGTATTTTAACTATGTTTCGGATGCTTTGCAGTAGGCGTGGTCGCGGGGGTAATTGATTTGTAAGCAAATTTAAATTTAAAATAACGTATAGGTACTAGCTGTTAATTTTTTTTAAATCTATTTTTTTTTTAATTACTTCAATGATATAATGCCAAAATTATATTTGGCTTAGTATACAACTGTTGCAGTTTTGATTTTGCTGCAAGAATACGTTTTTGGAGATGGATAAAGCTAAACAGAATATTCGTTCCTTTATAACTTTGTATAATTCTAAAGAATATAGGTAAGCCAATGTTTTTAAGCGCTTATTTTTTACGCGGCAAAATAATTTAAGAATTTTGAGAATGTTAACAATGGGTCAATAGTAGGTACCACCATGTACTACTAAGTTGCACTCAGGTTTAATTAGCTGCTAAACTAAATTCCTGAACAAATAAAAAGAACGGTACCGTGTGTCACTTTCGCTATGTGTGACTAAAGAATTAATCACGGTTCTAGCTAATACTACTATTACTCGTTAGATGCTAAAACGTCAGTTTATAGCTAATAAAATATTATTATCTTTGAGAAAGCTATAGCAAGCTATAGGTTATGTTTTATGTTTTAAATCTACATGAATACACCATTAAATTTGGTTTGGTCGTGATGTGGATAGATTACTATGTAATGCTTGTGTATGTAACGCGTTACGGCGGCTTTTATATTTAGTTGCCATACTCTCGCTCGTCCCAAACGTAATTTATATATTTTATATTTAAATTTAACGACACTGTTAAGATAAAAGTAAAAATTTAAAAACTGGTTTGAAATTATTCTTTCTTTCTATATTGCCGCTTTGACAATTGACAATGACCTACGCAGGCTCTTGCTAAAATATGATAAACTTAAGTCAACAATGTCATATTGACGTCTTCAGGTTGACATTGACGTTAACCAAATAAGTATTAATCAGTGTCAGTTGCCAATTACAACAATCACAATCAAACTGTTTATTTTGAGTGTTTGAATGTTAGGTTATTACTCATTGTTAGGAAAAAGGAATATTTAGGACTACTGTTTAGCGAGAAAACTAGTAAAAAAGTTGAATGAAATAAGTTCTACAAAGTATTATTAATTTTGATTACTGAAGTATTTATTAAAATGAGTAGCAAACCAAATTCAAAACGGACTATTTACGTCGGCGGATTAGCAGAAGAAGTAGATGAAAAAGTTCTACATGCCGCTTTCGTACCTTTTGGAGATCTTGTCGATGTACAAATACCATTAGATTATGAGACTGAGAAGCACAGAGGCTTCGCTTTCATAGAATTCGAGAATGCTGAAGATGCTGCAGCTGCTATTGATAATATGGTAAACTGAACTAGACTAGTATTACTCTTTACTTTTACTAATGATAACATGAAAACAATTATAACTAAAAAATGGTTTATACAGCAATTTCTATGTCCTATGAAATATTTAATATCCTTTAGAATGACTCTGAGCTATTTGGACGGACAGTACGGGTGAACGTAGCAGCACCTCAGAGAATAAAAGAAGGATCAACCAGGCCTGTCTGGTCGGAAGATAGCTGGTTACAGAAACATGCTGGAGAAACATTGGATGTAGACAAAGATAGTAAAGAAAACGATAGTACTGAGCAAACAGAAACAGAGAGTGTAAGTAGAATATTTCAGTAGCCTAGATTTAATTTCGGGATTTCTTCTTTTTACTAAAATTTTTCAATTCCAATATTTAAAACTTACTTGTCTATACCAACTGTGTTTCACTAAAGATTGTTTTTCTTTTATTTCAGCCAGCTGCTGCTAAGCAGGTAACTGAGAAAAAGAATCCTCAAGTCTACTTTGATATAAGTGTTGGCAAACAAGAAGTTGGAAGAGTGATAATGATGCTCCGGGCTGACATTGTTCCTAGAACCGCTGAGAATTTTAGAGTGCTGTGCACACATGAGAAAGGATTTGGATACCAGGGTAGCAGTTTTCACAGGATTATTCCGGATTTTGTATCCTTTGAATAATAACAATTATTAATCCTTTTTATTGAAACATGTACAAGTCCAGTCGGGTAGTATGTGTTGGTCACAATTAAATTAAACTTATCATGGTTATACAGTGAAACTAAAAATAAATTTTAAATATTATTATTAACTAAACAACGAAATGTAATTAATATATTGAATAATTATAATGAAAGTAAATTGGGTATACAGTTTGGGTATAGGCTTTCTCCACAGATAATAAAAATAAAATTATTAGTAGCTATTTACACCTTTCAAAATGTTATAATAATAGATATCTAATTTTTTAGCTATCTTGTAAAAACTGCTGTGTACTTGTTCAACTAGTGACTGAAGTTCCATAATTATTGCAACTTCCTTTGGAAACATCCCTGATGTGTTGCAGAAAGTTTTGCATTTCACTTATTGTATTAATTTTAATTTCCTATAGTATTAAAGTATCAAAAAATAACATAGTACAACACAGTAGTGTATAAAATTTTTGATTATATAGATATTGTTCAATAATTATTTCTTAGCATTACAATAGATGTGTCAAGGTGGAGATTTCACCAATCACAACGGAACAGGTGGGAAATCTATATATGGACGTAAATTTGAAGATGAAAACTTTATATTGAAACACACAGGTCCCGGAATATTAAGTATGGCAAATTCTGGACCAAATACTAATGGATCACAATTTTTCCTGTGCACAGCGAAGTAAGTGACAGTAGGAACTGCTTTAAATAATTCTTATTGACAGCAAAGGCGCTTTCAAAAAATTATTATATGAATAAATGAAAAATGACCATGTACAAGTAATAAGGATGTGTTGCACTCTCTTTATTATTAATAATTTCTTTCTAGGACAGAGTGGCTTGATGGAAAACACGTCGTGTTTGGACATGTTGTATCTGGATTGGACGTTTTGAAGAAAGTGGAACGCTATGGCAGTAAAAGTGGAACAGTCTCAACGAAGGTCATTATCAGTAATTGCGGAGAGTTACAATAAAATACTTATAAATAAAATGACTCTTTTTATCTCCTTTTTCATTGTAAACATAAGGAAAACATTTATTGGTTATATTGAAGATTCATATGTATTACATTTTCCATCAATAGAACTCAAACTATAGACAGAATGTTATGTTAGCTACAGATATAAGCTCAGCGGCAGTCAGTTTTAATATTTGCAAGGCGTAAAATTATTCGGGTTATTAATAGCCAAATGTAAGTATTGTCTGTAGTTTACGCAGGTGGGACTGAGGACACATAAACATTTTTAATGATTTAAAACGCTAAATGTATTAGTTACGGTTTTAATTACCGCCAAATGTTTCGGATGCATAATGGAAAGTATATTTAAATCTTCATGTTTATATGCTAATAATAGCTTAGTTCATGAATTGACAATAATTAGTATTGTATGATTTCCAATAAGCTACACTCTACTATTGTAAAAATGTACTCACTGCTTCCGAAATTAAGAAAAGCCCGTTTCCTATTAGTGTAGCCACCGTGTTTCCCGCCAACACAGAATTTCCCGCCAGTTTTTCACGAGATTGCGGATGCTGCGGACGCCGATCGCATATCTCTAGCACGGGTAAATCGCGGCGAACAATTTACGTATTCGCGACTTTATAATTTTACAGATAATATACATAATTTATCTGTGTGTTTTGCTTAAATTTGCATTATCTGTGTGAAAGTTCTCTGAAAAAGTTTTTATTACAAACAGTTTAGTGATGTCACTAGATATCTCGTAAAGTTTGGTTTCTGAAAATATCCAGAGAATTATAATGTAAGTAAAATACTTATATAAGATAAATTAAAAAATAATGCCTTTGAAAGTCGCCTTTTGACGTAATATAATAACGGGATAGTTCAAGGCCGGGAAAGTCTTTATACATCTCAAATGGGCGTTTAGAATGAAATGGGGGAAGTCTAGGATTTATTACATTGCCTATTATAATCATTTTTTTTCCATAAAACCGGCTAAGTGTGAGTCGGTATCGCGTTCGGGGGGTTACGTTACCAATGATTAGGTAAACAAATTATTGTTATTAAGCAAAAATAGACAACCATGGTTTTTTGTATATAAAATAATAATAAAACTAAATAATATAAATGTCTACCTTTCGATTATCGAGACTAAGCGTAAAAAGTCCGATATTTAACGCGTTGTTATATTGTTTATTATTTTATTTTATCTGTTGTAATACTGGTTATTGAGACACAGCCTGCTGACAAACAGATAGCGAACTGAACCCTATCCCCGCTTCTAACCTTTGTTTACGGAATCCTAAACAAGCGTATACCATGCTGATTGATTGATTACTTGACTTTATATGTTTTATTTATTTAGATATCAGAGGCACCACAAGCTCGGGATTATTACTGGAATACTTAGATTAAAAAAAAATTGTCCTCGTAACTTACAGTTGGTAAAAAACTTTTCTAATTAACTTTAAAATCTATACATGTCATTACAAATTATATTAATATAAAGCAAATATAATAATTCATATTTACTTTTCACTGCATGTAACCTTTTAAATAAAACACTTTAAATGTGTACTACTCACGTAAACTATAGACTCCATGTAACCTACGTGATATAATTAAAAATCATGCCAGATATTGTTAAGATTAACACAATGGAATATAATAAATCTTGAATTTGTAATAGAAGAATAGATTGCCTTAAGACACAATCAATTTTATCGGGACGAGGCTTATTAAAAGCCCTCAATGATTATATATTTGATTACGTATGTAATCGCCTTTGCTGATGGAAAATAAAAGAACCGATAGGTTCTTACTTACTTCATACTGCATGTGGTTCCTTAAGTAACCGAAAATAGCCTATGCATTTAGTAGTGTTTGTGGTTTACGCGAGTAACCACAAACACTACTTAATGCATAGTTTTAACGGTTTAAAAAACGAAATATAGTAGTTAACTTTACAATTTATTTTAGCTACTGCTCGACGTATCGGATTCTTTCCCGATTAGTTCGGTCCCCCGGGACCACGACTGCTGCGAGTTAACAAATACGTTTTGCGTTTTATTTAAAAAGTATTTTTTTCAATGTAAATGTGTAAAAATAATAAAGTTTTTCAACAATACTTTGTTGGATATGAAAACGCAAGTTAAAATTGTCAAATGGAAACTTTACAACAATTTTGTTTTTGACTTGCTGTGTCAGCGACTTCGTCCGCGAGAATCGTTATTTTGGGCGTCAAAATTCGTTCTTGCAAACCTCTTCATCTTTATAAACTTAAGCTGTTACCCACGACGTCGGTCGCGTCCCTTGCCGTCGTTCTTACAAGTTAATGCTAAAAGATAGATATATAGTCGTCGCTTTTTTTTAGATCATTTAAAGAGGAATCATTCTTTAATTCATATTTTTGGGTATCTTGAGCCGTTTTAGCAGCGTAAGGAACCCGTGTTGATGAATAATTTTCCCAATTCTTATCACATTTCGCGCTGTATCTTCGCTTGGTGTTTTATAGCATTTAGCCTTCCTCGATAACTGCTCTAACCAGCGCAATTTTTTTCCAATCGAACTCGTAGTTCCTGAGATTAGTGCGTACAAACAAACAAATTATATTAGCATACATGTACTCGAAAAATATGTGCTAAAGGTAGGTTTGATTATGAAACACAAATAACTAATGTATATTTATCTACGCCTTGATAGTGTGGCATATATTTTGCGTCATACACAATCAAAATATTGCTAGATATTGCGTAAACATCTAATTTTATTAAGCTATAACTCTCACTTATGATTAAAAATGCTATATATCTTTCATCGATACAGCTATGAAAACATATTGAATATATGCCAAGAAAATCTTGTAGAGACTTACTAGAGTTTAAACAGACCGGAGTCAATAGTAGGAAAAGATTTATTCATTACAATATATTTAAATTTCCCGAGAAACCTAATAACATTATGCCTGGCGTAATCTGAAAACGAGAAAAATATGAAGGTTTTAACGTACACAAATCTAATTACTTTGTTATTTCAATAAGTAAGGTATTTGAATAAATTACAAATCGTTTGTAGATTATAAAAAAATTACGATGGACGCATGACTTGAACCGGCATCCACAGCGTTACGTGCTGTTCCTCTGTCTTATTGAGCTATCGCATCCTAATTACTGTCTATAGTTTACGCGAGTAGTACACATTTAAATAAAACACTTTAACGGTTTAGTTTAACTAATATATCGCGTTTTAAACTGCTAGTGTTGTATTTAAATATCGTATCCTAGTTAGAGCAAGAAACGTTGTGGATGCTGGTTCTAGAACCGTGTCGTAATTTTTCCATCTAAAATCGGTTTCCAATTAGAGTAAAAAGTTTGTTTGATTTGACGAATCAATTAATAATAATAGGTTGCTGAATATTTAATTCTTCTACTTTAACTTATACGAATCTTCATATACATTGTATTTGTAATTGTTTATCTTGCTTCTCTTTCAACCAACGTAATAGAGTCCCATAGTTGTGCAGGTAACCTCAGTCCCACTATAAGGGCTTCGTTTCTAAATTTCGCATCTACAATTTCGTAATCTACAGTCGAGTGTACTCACCATAATACTGGACAAACGAGTAGACTATCTCAATTGTTTATAATTATTTGTACTTAAAAGTTAATAAGTTTCTGTGAGTAAATGTATAAAGAGAAGATGCTTAAGCGAATCCTTTACTTGAGTCGCATAATATATTTCACCTAAGGGACTACTTGGTCTTATAAAGTTTCGAGAAAACCCATCTCATGGAATCTAAATATATAAACAAAGATAAAGAGGAATAAGATTTATTGGGGTAAATTCGTCAAGTATTGGACAGTTTGGCACTTTTCTACAACGCCCTTAATATCAACGTTCGAGAAACAAAACAATTTTATTTATGAAGGTAGCTAGATACTTATTAAAGTCAATATAAGTCAACATAAAACTTTTTAATAAAAATAGTAATTACTCTTTTCAACACTTTTTAATATATTAAAAAAACCCATTTTTATTCCCCAACGTAGTTAACAGTTTGTTTTGGTTTGCATTTAGCCTCCAAAAGCCTCTTCCGTACGCTACCTCTACGCGCTCTATTTTGCTTTTCTTTCTCAAAACAAGTTAGCAGTTTCCATAATATCTTGCTATCTGCTGAACGGTCTCCCTCGCTTTCTCTTTTAGTAAACGGAGTCAACTTGTGATAAGTTGGGACCCATGGTTGTACTTGACTTGTAACAGGTGTCCAGTCCATGCCCATTTGAGCTTTATTGTCATATTCTGTTAGTCCACATTGAGTCGTGGACTAGGTTTTGATGACTGGTAGACGGGCCTATTAACAAAAAACATGATTGTCAATAAGGAGGAAAATTAACTTAGGCGATTATGAATTTGTACTATTATTTGTGTTAGAATTATGTTAACAATTTTCGGTCACTTTGCTCTTAAAAATTAACGTAGTCACAAAATTGCATTTAAACTACTCTGCCTTCAGCGGCCTCAATTATAAGCAATCCATGGATCTAGACGCCTATGTCATGAGTACCTAAACTTCTAGAAGATTGCTATACCCATACGGGTCATCAAAACCTTATGAGAAATTATTTTGCATACTAATTATCATTAAAATATAACACTTTAACGGTTTAAAACGGTTTAAAAAGTTTAACTAATATATCGCGTTTTAAACCGTTAAAGCGTTTTATTTAAATGTGTACTACTCGCGTAAAGTATAGAAAGTATCTACTAATTATTATTTCAATTACATCTAAAATGGATGACTGGACTTTTCAGACGCTTTTAATCTGGTTGTTACTGATAAGACTATATACAGTTTGTTCATTTTCGCGGTACTACTTGTTATTATGTGATAAGGCGGACTGAAAATAAGCGCAAAAGAAGAAAGTATTGCTGAACAGAAACTAAGTCTGATTAGTCTTTATATAACATTTTGAATTGTACCTAATATTTCATTGCATTGTAAAATTGTTTTTG